GAAATCTGAGAGCAGATGAAGCTGTGTTTAAGGAACAGGGAAGATAGAGTGAGCCTCAGACTGTCCTGCCTCCCCCAAAACTTTGCTAGTGTGGGTGAGCTGAGCAATGAGCTGGGCAGTGTCAGCCGTGGCAGTGCCCATGCCGGGGACAGAACCTCCTCCCCTGGAGCTTGCCTGGGCAGCTCAGGGCTTTCCTCTCCATTTGCAGTGGCAGAGCCGCTGATTGAAAAAGGACATATCCAGGTGCCCATTGGGAAAGGGAAATACCAAGTCAAAATATCACCGTGCATGAGTGGAGACATCTCTAACCTGCAGGTAAGGGCACGAACCCTGTGCAAGCAGCACCTACCAGCCTGGGTTGAGGCGGCACAGGCTGGGGGGCTCCTGAAGCCCCTCTCCCTGCACTGCTCTGCCCCTCAACCGCTGTTCTGCCCAGCTCCAGCCCTCCCGCTGCCCCAGGACTGTCCTGCTCTTGGGCATCCCCGAGGTGCTGAGTGAGGAGGCCATGAGGGACGCCCTGGAGATCCACTTCCAGAAGGCCAGCCGCGGCGGCGGGGAGGTGGATGCCCTCGCCTATGTCCCAGCGGGGCGGACAGGGGTGGCCGTGTTCGTGGAGGACACGGGCTAGTCCTGGCCAGCCCTGTCAGCCCGAGGCTGAAGAGCTCTGTGTGTCCGTTGGCCCCCGGCACGGGGAAAATTAAAGAGTCTGTTGGGAGCCACCCATCGTGTCTGCCGTGTTGGGGCCGTGTTTGGTCGGGGTCGGGGTCGGGCCGGGCCGGGCGCTGTCTGCGGGAGCCGGGGGGAGGCCGGGCCCTGCCCCGGCCGCGCTCTGAGGGGCCGGGCCGCGCCTCCCGCGGGGCTCAGGGCGGGGCGGCCCCGCTTTCGCTTTCATTTCCCCGCTGGGGCGGAGGCCGGAACGGAGCCGGGGCTGCAGACCCGCGGTGGGCCCGGTGTGGCGAGGGCCCGGTGTGGCGAGGCGCGGCAGCCGCCGCCGGGGCTCCGGGGAGGCCGTGCCGGTGTGGCGGGGCCCGGGCAGCCCTCCCGCGGGCATGGCGGGCCGCACGGTGCGGGTGCAGGGCTTCCCCGCCGAGCTGCCTCCCGACAGAGCGGCCGACAAGCTGACCATTCACTTCCTGCGCTCCCGCAACGGCGGCGGCGACATTGCCGACGTGCAGGTGCTGCCCGGGTCCCCGCCCTGCGCCCTCATCACCTTCGAGGCACCAGAAGGTAAAGCCCTCGGGGGCCCGGCCTGCCCCGCCATCCCCTGCCTCACCATCCCCAGCCCCACTATTGCCGTCCCCTGTCCCACCGTCCCCAGCCCTGACATTGCCTCGCCCACCCTCCCCTGTCCCGCCATCCCCTGCCTCACCATCCCCAGCCCCACTATTGCCGTCCCCTGTCCCACCGTCCCCAGCCCTGACATTGCCTCGCCCACCCTCCCCTGTCCCGCCATTCTCTGTCCTACTGCCCCTGTCCTCCTGTCCCCTCTCCCATCACTCTCTGTCCTACCGTTCACTGTCCTGCTGTCCCCAGCCCCACGGCCCCCCTGCTGTCCCTTGGCTGGGCTAACACAAGTCCGGGTGGCTTTTCCTTCCAGTGGCCCAGAGGATCCTGAAGGTGAAAAACCACGTTCTGGCCATCGGGAGGACACAGTACCCACTGGAGGTGACGCTGCACGCTTCAGAGCTGAGCCCTGATGAGGTACTGAGGGGCCATGAGCCCCAGCTGCTCCCACATAGACTCCATGCCTGGCAGACAGCTCGAGAAGGGAGCCTCACTCTCTCCTTTCATCTTAATTACACTTAAATCCATTTTCATTCATATTCAAATGAAGATTTTTTTTTCTGTGCTAATAGCACAGGGACAGGCAGACAGGCTGTGTGCTCAGTCATCTGGCGTTTGTGCCTGTCAAATGAAGGGTAGTCAGGCTGGAGAGAACAGGCACTTTTCCCCAGTCCATCTGGTACCACACAGGGGATCCTATTAATGCTTCTGCCTTGTCATCAGCTGGATGTACAGTGTATTGTTCCTCTTTCCTTCTCAGGAAAGCTTAGAATACAGACATGCTGGTCTCTAGGGAGCACTGCAGAGTTCTTGCCTCTTCCTCCAGTCTCAAGAGACCATGGCTGTAGCCATGTCTCATGTTTTCATGTCTGAACCCCAAAAATAAGGGCATGGGAATTAGCCTGGCCTTGCAGACGTTTTTGCAAGCCTGTGGTGCCAAAATTGCTTGAAGAGCTGAAGCTCTGCAAGGGCAAGAGAGCAACTGCATTTCAGATGCAGAAACAATAGTGGATTTCTTGGGTTTAGGCTTTTTGAAGAGCTCCCAGTGTGTAGAAATGTGGCCCTGTCTCTGTACAATTTTCCCCTCTGATTCCTTGTTTGCAGACAGCTTTGGACAGATCAAAAGGTGCACAGGGTGAAGGAGTTTCTTAATCTGGGTCTTTTGGTCCTGTCTATGTCAGGGTTCTCCTCTTGAAAGTAGGATGCTGAGGGAGAGAGGTGGAAGAGTGTGTCATCTCTTCTGTCTCAGTAATGCAGGGGCCGGGTGCGCTTGCCTTCTCCTGTGCCTTTGAAGGGGGTTGGTGTTGGTCCTTGCTCTCTCACTCCCTTGCTATCTCCTTGCAGATCTTCATAAATGTGTGCATGACAATAGACTATGGCAAGCTGCCCACGGGCAAAACCCTCCTGAGAGACTTGCACAAAGACTACAGCAAGGCACAGTTCAGCTTCGACTCAAAGAATATGCACTGCATAGTCCGGGGACCATTCACTGAGCTGCAGACCTTCAGCAGAGACCTGCTGGGCAGCCTGAACCTCAGGAGCCAAGCCATTGGTGAGATCCTCCTGCCAGCTTCCAGCTGTGGGACCAAAGAGATGGGAAAGCACGATCACCAGCAAGTGCCTGACTCCACTGAGTCAGCACAAGAGGCAGCAAAGCTGCCAAACTGGGAGCAGGTGCATGAAACAGCAGCTAAAGTCCCATCACCTCAGAGCCCAGTGGGTGGGGAAGCTGTGGAACTTTTGGGGAAGCTGGAGGATTTTTCCCTAGCAATGGATTCAGACATTTACATGTACATGCAGAGGTTCTGTGCTGCTGAGTACCAAGGTGTGCTGCACCAACATCACGTGGATGTGGTGGATGTCAGTGGTGATGGCATTGCTGTATTGTACCTCCAGCCATCTGAAGGTGTGTCTGGGAACATGGATGCCTTGCAACAGGCCCACCTGGCCCTGCAGCAGCTCTACCAGCAGCTGGAGGTGAGCCTGCGCAAGGAGAAGATCGCTAAGGAAGGGCTGGGAATGGACAGCCAGCAACTCAGGGCTCTGATGTGTGAGCTGCAGAAGCTGTATCCCCAGTTGCTCTGCCATGAGGATGTGAAGCAGCTTTATCTTGTTGGAAACCTTGTTGATGTGTCCCAGGCCAAGCAGTTCCTTCAGGATTTCATCACCAGGAGAGGCGCTGCACACACGGTTGACATGCTGAGCAGCTCCCAGCCCTCTGGCACCACAGAGGCTGCACAACACCTGGCCAAAGTGCCTGTGAATACTTCAGCCACAAGACCTAGCCCAAGCAGGCCGGAGCTGAAAGGTGAGTTTAAGCTAGCTGCCAACTTCAGCAGCCTGAAAGCTGACAGGTCTCAGGCTGGCCAGGGCCTCTTGCTGAATCAGGACTCTCCACTGGTGGGACAGGTGCAGCTTTCTGGGAAACGTTCATCAGAGATAGATGCTCCTGGTCTGAGTGACCAAAGGCCACTGACCCCACAGTATCGGCCTCCCACTCCTATGACAAATAAAGTTCTGGGGTCAGCAGCAGAGCCTCAGCAGAACAACCCCACAGAGAGGGACCATGTGGAAGGAGGTGCCAGACTCACAGGACAAAAGGTGCTGTTGCCCTTTGCAGGCAAAGAAAACAGCACTTTTCAGCATCCTGAGGACTCTAAAGGCTCAGGTCCCATTGGGCACCACCTCCACACTGGCATCTCCAGCATCTGTGATGTGACATGGACCTCTTCTGCTTTAGGCTCCAAACCCTCTGCAGCCACACCTATGCTGCGACGATCCAACAGCTTCTCCCTACCAAGGTCAAAGGAAAGCAACAGCTCTGGAGGATGCAGCAGCAGGGCAAGTGAGGAGATAAGCCTGGACTCTCTGCAGTGGTTTTACCTGAAAGATGTCTGCCATGGCACTATTGATGAGCTGTGCAGGGCTGGAGGGGTGCACATCTCAGAGCGGCACACTGGAGACTGCACAGTGCTGACGCTGCAGGCAGCAGACAGGAGAAGGCTGCTCCAGGCTAAATGGAAGGTGGAAGATCTCGTGCAGAAGTGCCCTGACTTGGTGTGTCAGAATGTGAGTTACTCAGAGCTCGCTGTTAGTGGTCCAGATGACAGTGCCCTAAGTGAACTGTGCAGCCTCTTGCGAGGAAAATCCTTCCAGGTTGGACTCAGCAAAGACAAGTACAAGCTCTCTCTTGCCTTCCCCAAGGAGATGTTGCCAGGAGTGACTGAGGCCTTCCACATGTTTTCATCCAGGAGGCTCTGTGCCATGAAGTCTTCATCCATGTCTCCTGGAGCAGAGAGTACAGGGAAATCAAGTGTCATCCAGCCAAGCAAAAGCCAGGACCCAGCCCTTCCTGGCAGCCTGAATTCCCTACAGCACCTGAACAGCAGCAGTAAAGTAGACTCTGCAGATGTGCTCAGGGCTTCCTGTGTGACAGAGGCTGAGGAAAAGAGGTCCCCCAGTCCTTGGAGGCTCCATCAGGCTTGGGGGCAAGAGGAAACCAGGGGCTGTACTGATTCTGGGTCTGGGAGAGGAGGAAGCAGCTTTACGAGCCTTGCTCTAGGGGAAAAGCCAAGTCCTCCTGGCTTGAGGGAGTCCCAGGAACAGCGGAAGACAAAACTGTCTCTGGGGGAGCCTGACACCACCCGGCTAAAACAAGTCTTGCCAGACAGATTCCAGTTTGCAAGAGACAAGAGCAGAGGAGGCCACAATGAAGCTGACAGAGCTCCTCACTCTCTGCCCGCCTGGCTACCCAGGGCCATGGCTGCTGAGCCACCACCAGCTGTGGCCCAACAGGCACCTGGAGCAGAGCCCACAGATCAGGGAAGGGCCCAGCTCCCAGGGGGCAGGAGCAATGAGCAGGAGGAGCCTAACGTCCCATCCCAGCAGAGAAGAGACCCCAGCCTTGGACAGGAAAGTGGCACGATCCCTCTGGGCCAGTGTGATGCTTGCCAGGGCTCAGGTGTGACCTGCCAGGGCCCCTGTGGTCACTCCTTGTGCAGAACATGTTTTGCAGCAGACAGTGTGCAGCCAGCTTGTTGCAGATCCTCCTCAGCTGTCCCAAGCTGCAAGATCTCAGGGACACTGAAGATCTCCTCCCTGTCTCAGAGCCTGCCTGGATACTATCGGGACCCAACACTTCACCTTACTTACAGCATCCCTGATGGCGTGCAGGGGGTAGGTATCACCGTAGAGCTTCCCCATCCCACTGCAGCCCACACGGGGGGGTCTGTCGGGATGGTCTGGGGGGGGAAAAGAACAGCCACAGCTCCCTGCCCCACATACAAAGCAGCAGAGAAGCAGAGGTATTAACCTATGAAAGGCAAGAAGCTCCCCACCAGGTTTTTGAGCAGCTTGCTGCTTCTCAAGAGCATGTGTGACCTCTGTTTGTAGTTGACAGTGATTGTCAGCCCATGGGGATCACGGTCATCAGTGTAGTTTTCAATCTAGACAAACCTTAGAAATCCCCTCAGAGACACAGCACTCCAGCCATTGTTTAAAATGTCTTATTCCTGTTCTAAGGTTGGAGACCCTCGCCCAGGACAGCCTTACAAAGGGGGGACTTTTTGTGCCTTCCTGCCTGATAACAAGGAAGGGCTGAAGACAGCAAAGCTGCTGAAGAAAGCATTTGATTGTGGGCTGACATTCCAGATCAAGTCCTTCAATGGAGAGGAAAGAGTAACATGGGGCCTTATTCCCCACAAAACCTCCTGGGATGGAGGCCGAGCCAGGTATGGCCCAGCTCATCCTAAGTTCTGGGTATGGTTGTGGGTTTTTCAGCAATTGGAGGAGGAGAACCATGGCCTCCAGCTCAACAAATCCTGGCGGGGATGGCTCTTTCACCCTCCCACAGTGGCAGAGTTGGTGCCTCCCTTTGCTTCAGCTTTCAGGGCAGCTATGGCATGGCAGACCATCCCCGGCACCCTTCAGCTAGAGCAAAAGCCCTTGCCCATCCCACAACCTTAAGTGGTGTGGAAATCTGTAAGTTCCTCATGGACAAGAATTCTGGGTCCTGTTCACTTACAGCCATGACAGGGTATGAGCTGTGCCTGCAGGCAGCAGGACATCCCATGAGCAGGACTTCCACTCTCTTCACTCTCTTCCATTCCTGCTGAAAGGTTGGGGCAGAAATAAAGGGCTGTGGTTTTGGGACATCAGCTGGATTTACAGTGCTTCCCTCTCTGCCCTGCAGGAATGGCTACCCGGATTCCCAGTACTTCCGTGAGGTCAGCACAGTTCTGAATAAACTGGGCCTTGTGTGATTCTCCCACAGCCACAGCCTGTGGCTTCCCTTTGCCTTCTTTTCCTGCTGAGAAAACTGCAGCTTAACAGAGACAACTCAGGAAGAAGCAGATGTTTGTCAAAGGAGCTCCTGTGTTCCCCAGGTGGAGCCAGAAATCTGCACATTAGCAAATAGCAGCACCTCCATCCCTGCCCATGCAGGCCTCAGTGCTTCACAAAAACCCCAGCTCTTTTGGATTCATGTCCTGCCAGCCACTCACAGAGCTGATCTCAGCTGATTGCAGGCTGAGCCCCTTGTGGCTTTCAGTAGCAGACACAAACCCGGGCAGGAGTCTGCACCTAGTCAAGCCCAGCTTCTAGAAGTCTCTCCCGCCTCCTGCCACTACAGGCAGGTCCAGCTCAGCTGCTGCCAGAGATGAACTGTCTTTAGTGTCAGCTCTTGTCACTGACAGCTCAGGGCCGAGCAGACAGCCCCATGCTCCAGCCCCTCCCCAGCACCTGCTCTGAGGCCAGCAGGTGACCTGGTGCTCTCTTGAGAACATAACAGCTTTCAGCACCCACAGCAGCTGCCTCCCAGGGACAGTCTCTATGCTGGCAAATAAACAGCATTTATTCTCATGTTTGGTAGTGGCTGTTCATGCCTTGTCTTACCCTCAGCCCAGGCATCCACTTCAGCCCCACCTGGCTATTGAGACACACAGATACAAAGTGCAGAGCCCTGCTAAAGGCTTCACAAACAAAAATCACCATGGCTACCCTCCAGGAAGAATGTCAGGAACAGCACCCAAGCCAACAATCAACAGTTGTCCCTGAGAGCAGAGGCATCTCCTCATGCTGGGAGCGTTACACTTTGTCAGCTGAACCTGCCCTGAGCTGTGGGCAGAGGGTTCACTACAACAGAAACCCGAGCAGCGTACAGTGGAAGGTTTTGTTATGCTTTTAATTAACATTTGAAACACATAAGGCATATGGTAACATTTGACAGAGGAGCAGTACACATTGTAGTCATGTAAACAGCAGTGGCACAGTTGTCTTCTGTCCAACTTGGTTACACATACAAAGCGAAATATATTTTTTAAACAAAAGATTTGCTATGTGTCTGTAGGATGAGCATCACTCATATCACAAATCTGCAAATCAACACAATTCAGACAGTACAGACCAGACCATATGCTGTAAGAGGCTCACTCAGAGTCTAACACGTTTCACATCATGCTCATGTACTACTTGCCAATAACACTTTGCCATCACGAGGGCTCAGCACACCAGAGACTTCAGGCAACCAGAGTGGTTTAACACCTATGATAGCAGCCAGGATCCTGCACTAGCTGAAGCCTGACACACACAGTGCTTCTTACTTCTCCCTGGCCAAACAATTCTAGTTTAATGCAGGTGTCTGAAACAAAACATAAGAGCTGAACTCCTTCCCAGAGCACTTGGCAGAGCCCACACTCCTCTGTGCAAGCAGAGGCCACCTCTGCTCCCTTCCCCACCTGCAGTCAGCTTGCAACACAAGTGAGCTTCAGAGAATCAAAGAGAATCAAAAACGTGGCAACTGCTGTCTGGTGATAGCAAAGGAGTTGCACTTTGTCCAAGACCAGCAGCACCAGGCTGGGAGGTCACTAAAGCAATGACTTTAGGAGAGGCATTGGCACCGAGCCCCCTGCAGCAGGCAGGGCCCTGGGTGCCTCCTCCACTCATCAGCTCCTTACACTTTCACTTGGACTCCTCGTGGCACAACCTTTGAGTCAGACAATCAGTAAAATAAACATTAAATTGCACTTCTGGAATGGCACAACCTTTGAGTCAGACAATCAGTAAAATAAACATTAAATTGCACTTCTGGAATGGCATACATGATAAGTACAGAAATCTCCCAGTTCCTCAGTAGCACAACTTTGCCCTAAAGAAGCAACATTGAATGGGATGATTTTTAATCCTAGGGTTTCGTTTTGGTTTTTTTGCTTTGGTCCTTAGTGTACAAACTGGCTGGTTAACTTGATTAAGACACTTGAAGTTGTTTTACATAGGTTCTATACTTACTGGCCCATAAAAAAGAAAAGTAAGAAACCAAAACACAACCAACCATACCTACCTAGGACCACAGCATTGAGCAGGGGCGGAGGATTGCAAGGTTACATTTAATCTTGGTCTTCCTGTAGAAAACACTGTTGCTAACAAGAGACACAAAATAGCCACTGCTGAACTCGAACAGGCAGTAACTGCTTTGCATTCCTGCCTTGATAAAGGCTTCAGGAATTTCTAGGTAGAAGACACGTGAGCCCAAAGAGAGCCAGGAGCTAGGATTGTTTCCAAAGAGCCAAGGCTGCCAAGGAGCAGCTGCTAAAGTCTCACTCAAGGCTCACTCTGGAGCCAAACAGCTGCCCTAGGAAAGACAAGGGCTTTACAACAGATCTTATGGACTTGGGGGGACAGAACAACCAGGTCAGCCCCAGAAAGGCTGGAATACCTGGGGAGAGAACAGCTAATTCACAGAAAGTTCAACGACATCACCAGCATTCACAAACAGAGCTAATAAGAGTCAAAAAAGGGTTTTGGCAATACTTTAAAAGGCCAGAATGGAAAAGGCCCCAGTGACTTCTTAGTC